CTTTTTCTTTTCCTATTTTTTTTTTCATTTTTTTCCCTTTGTATTTTTCTGTTTGTGTTTTTTGTAGCCTGTATTTTGTTCTTTTCATTTATAATTCTTAATAAAATTATTTGAAAAGAAAAAGTAACTCTGCAGCCAATCCTCAGATTTACAACCTTCACAGGTCTGTAAAGGAAGGGAAAGCTGAAGAAAGATCATAAGCAGCCGTGGTTTCACTTAGTGACTTCATTTAACAACTGAGTTGCCAGTTCCAATTATGGTCACTAAATGAGGACTGCCTGAACTTCCATTCTTGTCCCCTTCAAATAGGTTGGTGTCTCTCTGCATCTCTCATGCCCCCAGTGTAGGTTAAAGAATTGCAGGAGGGCCCATGGCAGAAGAATTTTAATTAAACATTTGCACATCTATTTCAAAGGACTGTGGGCAGTTTGCCACTTGAAAGCTTTGTATATTCGTTACTGTGTTGAGGCTGCTTCTTCTGCTATCTTGCAGCTGGTTCTGCCATCACCCCATTTTTCCCTCTTGGTTACACTGGTTGACAGAAGTCTTTTATCAAAATGAGGATTTGGAATCCGTTTCACAAACAGTTCACAACTGCAGCTCCAGAATAGCCAACAATAAATCCTCTATCAGTCATGTAAATGAGCCATCAGACGTGTTTCTAACCAAGCCTATAGCTAGTTGTTTGGGATCTTAAAAAAAATACAAAGCCAAGCTGTGTTTGCTCTCTGCTGACATGCAGGAAGCACTGATGATGCTGAAGACCTGTCTGCACTGCATCTTTAGGACAGGTATGTGGCACAGATGAAATCCTTAAGAAGCATCATTTCATCCACAGGAAAAATCTTTTCACCTGCTCAGAGCAAAAGTGCACCTACTTGTCCTTATTCTTGCAGGTTACGCTGAAGCTGAATGCAAGAAAAAAACTTTCAAAATAAAATCAAGAGGGAAAACAGAGGGAGGAAGCAGATAAATTTAACATTACGAATAAACAGTAAATTATCCATTCACTTAACCACCCTAATCTCTATCCAAAATTCAAAGCAGGAAAGCTTTTATAGAACCACCTTCATTTGTAAAGTGTCAATTTGTTAAAACAGGCCTAGATTCTGGAAGAGATTTGCACATTACATTAGCCAGGTCTTCAAAACAAGCACATTCCCTTTGTTATTAGTTGGCGCATAAACAGCGCCACCATGTGGGCAGTCTGGGCTGACATCAGTTACCACAGTAAGAGGGATGGACGGATAACACACATGGAATTCCGAATAGCAACCTGTTCTGAAAAAAGTATAGAAATTTATTGAAGTTTTGGAGGAAGCATTCACACTGACAGCAACTTTCCCTCAGTTATCTTTTTAAAAAATCCTTAAAAAAAAAAAAGTACCGCACGTTTTCCATGGTACCACGAACACTCAACAGTCCATTCAACCGAGTCCAAGACCGTAACAGCAAACGAAATCCAATACAATGGCCACAAACCTGAACTGAACTTTGCTTTTTTCAATTAACATTTTGGAAGAAATCAACACAGCCTGTAACATATCCGCTCACATGGATGTGTCTACCACAAAAAAACCATTTGGTTATATTCTCACACATCTTGTTTTTGCAATTAATTGAACTGCATCTGTGGCTATTCTTTCATCCCATTTTATGCTACTTCAGTGAATGACAGAAGTATACGAACCAATTGTTTAGTGTGGCAATTCCCTAGCCTGATTAGCTAATTAACAGGAAGCTTTATTTCCACTTCAATGGGGATCACTGGATTACCAGTATTTTAAAGAAAAAATCAACTTAGATAAAAACGTGTCTCTGCGAATCTGTTCTGGTATAATCAGTGACAATCTCAAGCTACTGATTTTATGACACAATGACTCTGAAAGTGTATCATTAATGCGGATTAATCAAAATATTGGAAAATGAGAAGCACTCTTAAGGGTTGCTTCTCCTTCTACCAATTCTTTTGAGTCATCTGGAACACTACCTGTTTTGGAAGAGTCAGCACTCCAAATGGAGACTTGCTGGACCACTCTTCTCATCCCCTGGACAAAGTCCATAATACTAAATTGGCAAGGAGTTGAGGCTTAACAGTTGAATGTAAGCAACCCAGAGTGATTAACCGTTGACTTTGTTGTTTCTAAATGAATGACTCTCATTAATAAGTAAACTGCTTTCTTAACCAACATAACTTCGGAACTTGCAAAACCAACCCCATTTTCTCTTTCTGAAATATTCTGAACCTCTTTCTGCCCTTTTTCAGTCTACTTCATTTATCAGAGATCCTCTTTTCCTCTGCTTGCACGGTTGCTGTCTGTAACAGTTCCAGGTTTCACATCTGTGTCTCTTTTCTTGGAGGATTTTTCAGGCTTCAGTTTATTTTTTTCTTTTTGCATGGCTCCTTTACCAGGGTACACTTGACCTTCCAAAGTGACGTCTCCACATCTCTCTTGATTTACCAGAAAGTCTTTGATCTCCCAGGCATAGCTTCCATCACGCAACATAAAGATGGCACGGTTTGAACCAACAATGAACCTAGATTTCAAAAGATATTCAGTTAAAGTCTTTTCTAAACCCTTACATTTCAGGAGGCAGAAATCCAGAAACAGAATAGATATCCAAGTATTAAGTGGCACATCTGCATTTTAAAAAGCAAATGGTGGTCAAACTGGAACTTATCACAGCATACAATACTTTTACTACCCTTTTCAGAATTATTTTTTCAATCAACTGCCTGGTAAAAATGGAGCTCTATATATAATTTTGGGATGAGGTGGATAGGAAAATACAGTAATGTCTGGCTGGCAAACACTTGGATGCTCTTTGACAGAACATAATTCCTATTTCAGTAGGATGTCAGTGTGATGACACTAAAGCTACTACTCCACGCATGCACACACCATGGTATTTCAAAGTAAAATACTAAACATCTGTATCAAAATTGTATGGGAACAGTATTTGTACAACCCTAGAACAGATCTATGGCAAAATTGGACAACTGCCTAAAATCCAACTACAATCAACCCTACCTGTGAAGGGCCTATTATGTATAATGTCTCCCAGATGTAGGAAATATATTCATTTCACACAGATAAAGTGAACCAAAGACATGCACAACCTTGCACCAAGGTTTGCTCCCCAGAGAATGCATGCAGATTTCAACTGAGATCAGAGAAAAAACGTGAAGAGTAAGACCAGCTACATACACAAATGTACAGCGCTCAGTGGATAAAAGACTACATTTACCTGAAAGGAAGGTGAATGTTTCCACAAATAAATTACTCCTTAAAATAGGAGGATATTAAATTTACTTCAAGTAACGTACAGAAGCAAATGATGGATCTTCTTTTGGGTGGGATGCTCTTCAATTCAGGATGGCCTATTTTTTAAGTTGGCACACGTGCTGTTGCAAGCTTTTAATGGGTCACTGAGATTCCATGCACCTGTTTTAATGCCTTCTATTACTATGTAAGTTGGCAAACCAGCCTCTACTTCAATTTTGGTCCAACTCGGTGCCCATAAGAGCCATGTTGCCTGGGAATGCTGGGATTCCAACATACCCAGGTATGCCAGGCTATGACAGGCTGTTTCACTTGGAAAACCTTACTTCATCCAATGAGATATGCTTCTGATGTAAGCAGTAAGGACTGTCACTTTTGGACATGTATTGTAATATTCACAGATAGATTTTTTTGAAAAAGAAAAACAAATATCATGCTTAAAATGGGACTTAGGAAATCACTGCTGTAACTAGAAGACTACTTATTTTTTTTCCAGTGAAAAGAAATCCAAGCCCGGGGGGGGGGGGGAATCACCCAGCTCTAAAGGCTTTTACCTCTGTACATCATAATTGGCATTGAAAAGGCTTCCTTGCCACAGATTTGTAATCTGCTCCGTCTCCTTCTCAGTTGGCTCTCCTGACACGGTGACAAACATCATGAGAGTTTTCCCCTTTTTGGTCATTTTCAAGATGCTCTCAGGCTTGCCTGGGTCAATCTTGGAGAAGTCTATCGGTGCAGATGGACGCAGGTGCTCAGGAAGATCTCCTTCTTCTATATCATCGTCCTTCTGTTTTGGAAACAGAACAGGAACTTTGAAAACACTTTGAAAAGGAAGAGAGCCCTTAAATAGTCTCCAGGTGATATAAGCTGATTACTGAAAAATGGCCCCATTTATTCATTCATTTCTTTTGTATCCTGCTTTTCATTTCAACCCAACAAGCCTGAGACCGGGTTGAGAGAAGGTGATTGGCCCAAAGTACTCAGTGAGCTGCATGTGTATCCTGCTTTTCATTTCAACCCAACAAGCCTGAGACCGGGTTGAGAGAAGGTGATTGGCCCAAAGTACTCAGTGAGCTGCATGTGTATCCTGCTTTTCATTTCAACCCAACAAGCCTGAGACCGGGTTGAGAGAAGGTGATTGGCCCAAAGTACTCAGTGAGCTGCATGTGTATCCTGCTTTTCATTTCAACCCAACAAGCCTGAGACCGGGTTGAGAGAAGGTGATTGGCCCAAAGTACTCAGTGAGCTGCATGCCTAAATGAAAATATGAACCCAAGTCTCTCCAGTCCCAATCCAACCTGTGGAGTCCTTGGTGCTGTCTGAGCTTGGTGGTTCATTTGCAGATGTTTCATTATCCAACTAGGTAACATCATCAGTGCAGCAAACCACCAAGCTCAGACAGCACCAAGGACGACACAGTTCAACCCTGAGCTACAGATATTTTCTTCTATTGGAACCAATCCATCCTCTTAACGACTACACTTCATTGGTTTATTAAAAACTGAGTTGAAAAGTTGCTGTATTTTTGTTTGCTTGCAGTGATTATAACTAAATTCTTTGAGTTCATTCTTTAAGAGACAGGAACGAGGTGATGAAAAATGTACCACCAATATGTCAAATGCAAGTATTGATATTATGGTATAAACCAAAGCCCATTGCCAGTTTCAATTCAACACTTAAAACTGTAAAAACAGCAAAAACTCAGTACTGACCCATAAAAGTTCTCCATAACATCAAGCTGAAGTCTGTAAGCCCATGTAAAAATACAGAGTTGCACCTCAGTGTAAAGGAAATATAATACTTTTTAGACCATAAAAAACTTCAAAGTTAGTTGGGAGGGGTGTTGAGTTGTTGTAACTTCATGCCACAATATATTACAGTCTTTAGTCTGTATGATGTGCAAACATTGGTGCTATATTGTCTATTAATGGAGCTTGGTATTTGTCTTCTTAGTTTAGGAAAAACCTGAGAAAAGTTCATAAAATCATATCAATATAGAAAGTAGATTGTATTTATGTTCTCCTTCATCAACTTGAAGCCAATCATTTAATTAATTGGCAGCAGATTAAGGATGGGTCAAACAACCTCCTCCTTCACACATATAATTTATGGGATTTGCTACCATAAGATGTGCCACCAGCAATCACAACAGTTCTACAGAACCTCCAGAATTAAAGGCAGTGAATTGGTGCAATTCACTGTCACCATTTCCTCAAAGAAGACATCAAAGGCCATGAGTCCTGATTGTAACATACAACCCCCAGATTACGGGCAGCATGTCTCTGAATTATAGATCGGGGGGAGCAACAGTAGAAGAAAACTACCTCTCTTACATCCAATTTCTGGCTACCCTATAGGCATTTTGCCTATGATTTTTGTAATTTCTCCAGATATTCTTCAGTAAGCCTATTCCTTGCACTTTACTTTATTACTTTATTTAAGCATTTAAAAAAAAAAAAAACCCTTGGGGAGAAACATTCTCAGAGCAACAGATGACTTCAATAAATCTCTCCCGTTCCTTGGATCCTCATGGCAACCCAGCAAAGTTGAGCTGATAGAGACTATGGCTGATCCGAGCCCATCCCAGGCGTACAATTAAGCAATGCCTCCACCTGCCCTGCCCAGCACTAGCCTTTACACCACAATTGGTCTCAATTTCTTAGTCCATTACACCATCCCTGCGAAACCAAATAACAAAACAATGCTAATCATGGGAATTATATTGCACCATATCTGAGTCTTCCCCAATGGATGTCTCTCCAAATGTACTAGACTATAATTACCAATAGCCTCAGCCAACCAGAGGCAGAGCTTAGCCCGGCACCAGATTTGGGAAAGCTGTGCAATTCTAAGGGAGTGCTACTCTTACTTTTTGACCTAAAATGGTTTTGCATTGCTCACCTTAACCTGAAGCACTGGAGAGGTGGCAAACTGGTTTTAAAGGGATTTTTTTTTTAATTGACCTTTGTATTTTGTTTATTGGTGTTTAATTATGTGTGCCACCCACAGCCACCAATGTGAGATGGGCAGCTGTACAAATTGAAAAATTAAACTTGGCCCTTCCATGGCAAAAAGGATTGCATTCTGCTCACACTCAGAGGAACGTGTCCTCCCATTTTCAGAGACTGCCCACTCAATGAAGGAGGTCCTGAAGTTATGGGAGGGGGGCAAAGTGAGGCATCAGGTAAGCTTCAGAAGCCACGATGGCCAGATCCACCCAACACCCAAAGCCCATGATGGCATAGTGGGACCAGGGGGTGAAATGTTGCTGCGCCAGCCTTACTGAATGACCTGAGACCCAGGTTTCCTTGGTTTGGGCTTACCATGCTGGGTGAAGTGAGCCCCTGGGTTTGCATATCATGGCTTAAGGATTCGCACGTTATCTGAACTAGCCAATGATGGCTTATTCCACTAGCTAGGATTAAACCTGATTAGTGGAACCAGGCGAACCCCAGCGTCGCTCCTGAGGGGGCAGGAAAGGGGGAAGCGGAGGTGGGGGCTTCTAAGAAGCTTCCTCCCCCCTGCTTCTTCCTCCTCTTCCTCCTCCTCTTCGCCTATACCTCCCACTGCTCCAGCAGCCGCGCCATGTCGGCGTCGTTGTAGTCCCGAATGTCTTTCTTCTTCTTCGCCGGCTTGCCGGGGCTCTTCTTCGGCTCCTCAGCAGCCACCAAGCAGGCGCAGAGCACCAACACCCGGCACAGCCACAAG